GGGGCTGGAGAGATGGCTCAGAGGTTAAGAGCATTGCCTGTTCTTCTAAAGGTCCTGAGTTCAATTCCCAGCAACCACATGGTGGCTCACAACCATCTGTAATGGGGTCTGGTGCCCTCTTCTGGCCTGAAGGCATAGACACAGACAGAATATTGTATACATAATAAATAAATAAAAAATCTTTCTCCTCTCAACCATTGATTACATATAAATCCTTAGGTAGGGACGGGGTGTTGAAATAGGAGCTGCGGGGCTGCGTCCCCAGCACCCCAGCCGCCTGCTAGCTCATGCCCGAAATAACAACACACAAACTATTCATTTAAACACCACTTGGCCCATGAACTCTAGCCCTTACAGGCTAATTCTCGCTCCTGGACTAGCCCATTTCTAATGATGTGTGTAAGCACCCCAAGGTGCCCTTACCGGGAAGATTCTAGCCTCCGACCATCCTAGGTTGGAGCTGCCTGGGAGAGCGGAGCCTGGAGTCTCTGCTCCAGAGAGCAGAGCTCTTGGGTCTCTCCGGGAGCAGAGCAGAGTCTGACCTCACTTCCTCTTCCTCCCAGAATTCTATTCTGTTTACTCCTCCCACCTATGCTTTAACCTATCAGGGCCAGCCAAGCAGTTTCTTTATTGCTCAATGACCTTCCTCCATCAACGGGGTAGGGACGAGCCCCTCCCCCTTCCATGACATGGTGTTTGTGTGTATAGAACTGGTCTTGCATGGGTAGGTTTAGTGCTGGGAACCAAGCTCCAGCCTCTACAAAGCTATTCTTAACCATGTAGACATCTCTCCAGCACCTAGTGTTCTTTCATCCTCCTCCCCAACTGTTCCCTCCCTGCCCACACAGTTGCTGTGCACTCCTGTGCTGGAACTCACTGTGTAGAACAGGTTGGCCTTGAACTCCCAGAGATCTGCCTGCCTCTGCCTCCTGAGTGCTGAGATCAAAGGTGTGATCTGGCTCTTTTTTTACTATTTAAATTAAGTACCATTTATTATTGGGTATGTGGGTGTGGGTGTGCATGTCCCTTTATGTATGTCTAGAGGTCAAAGACAAGTTGGTGAAGTTAGAGCTTTCCTTCTACCGTGTGGATCCTGGGACTCCATCTCAGGTTGCCAGGTTTGTGCAGCAAGTACTTTTACCCACTGGCCCATGCTACCAGTGTCCAGATTTTTCTTTTGACACTAATCAATTGGGAAGTGTTATCATATGCTACAATTTGACCTGATTTTTCTTTTCAGAGGCCCAAGGAGGACAACTTTCATTCTGTTTACTCACTTTTATCTGGGTCAGTGCCACCTATAAGGAGGTTCTGAGTGACAAGCTAGGCTTTCTCTAACCCTTCTCTACCCTGCGTCTCTAAAGATGACTTCTCTGTTCTCTTAGTGCTATGTTTGTTCTTCTTCTTAGCCCCCAGGAGGCAAAGAGTCCAAAGGTGGAGCTACACAGCCACTCAGATGTCCCTTTCCAGATGCTAGACAGCAATAGTGGTCTGAGTTCTGAGAAGATCAGCTACAACCCCTGGAGCCTGCGCTGCCACAAGCAGCAGCTGAGCCGTATGCGCTCCGAGTCCAAGGACCGAAAACTCTACAGTATCCTTGTCCACTGATTGTGTGAGAAAATGGCAAGATAGCTTTGTTCTTATTCTTGTATTTCTGGTCTGAATGTAGGGCTTCATTCCTGCCCAAGCATTTACTCTATCATTGAACTAACTAACCTCTTACTCTCAAGATAGATATTTTAAAGTGGTTTTTCTTTTTTTTTTGAGGGGGGGGTTAAGACAGGGTTTCTCTATAGCTTTGGGACCTGTCCTGGAACTAGCTCTTGTAGCCCAGGCTGGCCTCGAACTCACAGAGACCCTCCTGCCTCTGCCTCCCGAGTGCTGGGATTAAAGGCGTGCGCCACCACCGCAGGCTTTAAGTGGTTTTTTTATTAGCATATATTAGACATACTAGTAGATTTTATTATGAGGTTCTTATTTGTGTACATCTGTATTTTGATCACATCCACCTGTTATGTTCTCTCGTGTCCCTTCCACTAGTCTCCTCTTCCCGACTAGCCTCTTATGCTTCCCTTTGTGTCCCAGGACGCTGCATGGGTTATTTACAAGAATTTGGTACCTTACACCACCCGGGAGAAAAATCTTTCTCCTCCCAACCATTGATTACATATAAATCCTTAGGTAGGGACGGGGCCAATGAGCCCCTCCCCCTTCCATGACGTGGTTTTTGTGTATAGAACTGGTCTTGCATGGGTAGTGGTAGCTGTTTCAGGTTTTAAAGAGTACAACCACCATGTCACGTGTCATGTCATGCATTGTGCCCTTTCTGTGGCCTGACCATTTTTTCCTTTCCTCCCTCCCTCTCTGCCTCCCTTTTTCTTTCTTCTCCCCCCCCCCCTTTTTGTGGTTTATTTCAAGAAAGGGTTTTCTTGTGTAGCCCTGGCTGTCCAGGAACTAATTCTGTAGACCAGAGAATTAAGAGGCTGTCCTCGAACAAAGAGATCCACCTGCCTCTGCCTCCCTAGTGCTGGTATTAAAGGTGTACGATACCACTGCCCAGCCTTAAAATGATTTTTTATTCTTTGACAGTTTCATGTGTGTATAAAGTATGTGCTTACACACCCATTCTGTTCCCTTATTGTTCTCTCATTGGAACCTGTGCCTTTCCTACATTCATGAAAAAAGCAAACACACGAACAAAAAAACCCACTGAATTTTTTTATTTTTTTGAGACAGGGTTTCTCTTGTGTAGCAGTCCTAGCTGTCTTGGAACTTGCTTTGTAAACCAGGCTGGCCTTGAACTCATTGAGATCTGCCTGCCTCTGTCTCCCAAGCTCTGAGATTAAAGGTGTGTGCCACCACTGCCTGGTTAACCCACTGAATTTAAGTAGAGTGCTGGTATAAGCATGGGTATGGGGTTGTATACTAGATTATGGGTAACTTAGTGGCAGCCATACCCCTGAAGAAAAATGAACCTCTGCCCTTACAGCCTTTAACTACCAGTAGCCCTTCAGCTAGTGGTAAGGCCTCATGTGGCCCTCTCCAGTTCCCACTGGAATGCTGGTGGGCGGATCTCATTGTTGTGTAGGTAACCCCTGTTGCTGTGAGTGCAGCAGCACAAGCCTCTCCCCACACATGCTCAGTCTTGTCCTGGTCTAGTGAAGCCTTAGTCAGTAACTGCAGCTGCTGGGAGATCATGAGTGCAAGCCCCATGTGATGTTCAAAGACTGTCGTACATCCTCCTTCCTTCCTCCCCTTCCTCCACAATGCCCCCTAAGCCTTGGAAGGGTGATACACATCCCATTCATGGCTGGATGTTGAACCATTGTTTATTCTCACCAAGATAGATTTTAAGTCCAGCACTTTCTGAAAATTCCTGTTGGGAATGTTAGAATTTGATTCCCTCGTGTTTGTTTGTTTTCTTTCTTTTTTTGTAATATTGCTGCAAAGATGTCTTTCTTATTTCTTAGGTCTAGGTGAGTTACTAGACTAAGTGAGTCCTTGGTTTATTAATGGTGGCAGAGATGTAGCCAAATGTTCTTCACCTTATTATGTGTGTGGTAGGTCTAAACAATAGAAACAATAATAAAACTAGGTGTGGTGGTGTATGCTTTTGTCTCTGCTCTCTAGCCGGAGACAGGAAAACCAGAAGTTCAAAGTCACCCTTATGTTCTCCAGGCTGAGTATCCTAGGATCATGAGACTGTCAAAGGGCTGGGGAGGTACCTGCAGTAAAGTTATGCAAGCCTGATGATCTGAGTTCAGATCTACAGAACTCAAAAAAAAAAAAAAAAAAGGCCAGGTTTTGTGTGTGTGTGTGACTGTAATCACGGTACTGGGAGGGTAGAGCCAGATCCCTCAAGTTCGTTGGCTAGCCAGCCTAGCTGGATCAGTGAGCTTCAAGTTCAGTGAGAAATCCTGCCTTAAAAATAAAGGTAGGGAGCAGTTAAGGAAAGATAGCTGATGTTGACCTCTGTCCTCCACACGTTACCCACACCCACACTCCACAACGTAACACACACACCTGAAAATTTAAAAATATAGATCAGTGGGTGTCTTGTATACATGTTCTGGAAAATTATATAGGCATACAAGAATTTTTTTTTTCAGACAGGGTCTCTACATAGCCCTAGCAGTTCTGAAACTTACTATATAAACCACACTGACCTTGAACTCAGAGATCTGCCTGCCTTTGCCTCCCAAGTACTGGGATTAAAAGTGTGTAGCACCATGCCAGGCTGAAATTCATTTTTTTGTAAATTCAATTTCATATGTATGAATGTTTTTCCTGTATGTATAGATATGCACTATGCGTGTGCCAGGTGCCTGTGGAGGCCAGAGAGAACTGGAGTTAGAGATGGTTGGTGATGGAATTGAACCCAGGTCCTCTGCAAAAGCAACAACAAATGTTCTAAACTGCTCAGTCCTCTCCAGCAGCCAGGAGTGAAGTGCTGATTTACTGTACGGCATGAGTGAATCTTAGAAACATCTACCTAAGGCTGCCAGAAGAGGTCTCATGCTAGCAGAGTCTAGTAAGGGAGCTGCCGCCAGGAGAGCAGAAAGGGCAGATGGGGAGTGAGTGGTTGAGTTTGTAGAGGTTCGTCTTGGGAAGGTGGACAGTGGTGATGGCCGGCCTGCCACTGCCTCTAGAGTGCTGGCATTAAAGGTGTGTGCTCCAACCCCAATTTTTTTTTTGGTTTTTCGAGATAGGGTTTCTCTGTGGCTTTGGAGCCTGTCCTGGAACTAGCTCTGTAGACCAGGCTGGTCTCGAACTCACAGAGATCCGCCTGCCTCTGCCTCCCGAGTGCTGGGATTAAAGGTGTGCGCCACCATCGCCCAGCTCAGCCCCAATTTTTTTAATTAAAATTTTTTTGAGACAGAATCTGACTGTGTAGTCCTGGGCTACTTCTCCTACCTCTCCTCCCCCCATTCCTGCTCTGTTTCTGTTCAGAAAGGGGCTGGTTTCCCATGGGTATCAGCAAAGCATAGCTTACCAAGTTGCAGTAAGACTAAGCAACTCCCCTTGTATGAAGGCTGGGCGTGGCACCAATATGAAGACTAGGTTCCCAGAAGTCAGCCAGAATGCCACTTTTATAGATCTTAATTGTGCTTTCCTGGGTGGAGCGGACAGTGAGTGTGGTTGTCATTCTTCTTGACTCTGGCCCAGAGTTCCTCCTGCTTGAGAATGTGGTACACCACTTCAAGTACCCTTGTGTGCTGGACTTGAAGATGGGTACCCGACAGCATGGGGATGATGCATCAGCCGAGAAAGCAGCCCGGCAGATGAGGAAGTGTGAGCAGAGCACATCCGCTACACTGGGGGTCAGGGTCTGTGGCATGCAGGTGAGTCACCGCTGGTAAGAGCCCAGGTGCTGCCAGGTGCATGCTTTAGGTTGTGCCCATACCTGCCTGACACCCGTGTCCTCCAGGCCTGCGCTGTTCCAGAATCTCCTCTGAAAGGGTGAGTCACCCACCCGGAGCCAAATATGTCTTTGCAAGTGGGTTCACTGAGCCCTGCTTTCCTCACTTGACTTTGAGCTCCATGTGCAGGGTCATTGAGAGAGCCTGCCGCCTTATCACTGGGCAAGTAAGACTTGTCTATCAGCTGTGTGTTCCCAGTTAGAATCTAGCTGGGCCCTGGGACAGCTTGGAGGCAGGCTTCTAAAGTGATGGCTATAGGCCTGGTGTTGGCTTTCACAGCTCCATGACGGGAAAACCTGGGGTGAATGTGGCCTCCCTGCTCCAGTAGGAGGAGCTGAAGAGCTCAGGTTGGTCAGAGTGCCTTCCAGACTATTTTGTTTGGTTGGTTGGGGTTTGTTTTGTTGTTGTTTGTTTTGTTTTGTTTTTGTTTTGCTTGGGGACACTTTGTGGACATCAAACCTTCCTGGTACTCAACCCTATCTTGTCTCCTGGGGTTTTAGGTATACCAGCTGGACACAGGTCATTACCTCTGCAGGAACAAGTACTATGGTCGTGGACTCTCCAGTGAAGGCTTCCGCAATGCCCTGTATCAGTATCTGCACAATGGCCTGGACCTGCGACGTGATCTCTTTGAGCCTATCCTGAGCAAACTCCGGGGCCTCAAAGCTGTGCTGGAGCGGCAGGCCTCCTACCGCTTCTACTCCAGTTCTCTGCTCGTCATCTATGATGGCAAGGAGTGCCGGTCTGAGCTACGACTCAAGCACGTGGACATGGGGCTCCCTGAGGTGTCACCACCCTGTGGCCCCAGCACTAGCCCAAGCAGCACCAACCTTGAGGCTGGCCCCTCCTCTCCACCCAAGGTGGATGTCCGCATGATCGACTTTGCACACAGCACATTCAAGGGCTTCCGGGATGACCCCACTGTTCACGACGGGCCGGACAGAGGCTATGTGTTTGGTTTGGAGAATCTTATCAGCATCATGGAACAGATGCGGGACGAGAACCAGTAGGCCCACTTCTGGGCCCTAAGACCCCTTCTTCTCCACCCACAGGCAGGGACCATTGCTCTGAACTTGCTGTGAGGACACACTGACTTGCTTTTAAAGGGTTATATTTCTCTTTGGTGTAAACTAAAAGAAATGTTTTTAGCTGTAGCCTGGAATCCATATATATGTGTATCTATATATGTATATATATATATGGAATCCATCTATATATAAAGGAGGCAGAACATAACGTCCTCTTAGCCAGGTTCCTTAGCTTTGTGGCTCTATCTGCTGTGTCCAGGCTGACTCAGGAAGAAGACGTGGCCCCAGTGGGCTTGGCAGCAGAGACAGAATGCCTTTGAACTTTGGTTCCCTTGCCTAAGGTTTTTGGGGTCTGTGACTGCAGGGCTTTGCTGGTTATGAGGTAAAGCCCAGGCTGGCACAGGGTCTCTCCATGCCTATTCGTCCCTTATTTCCCAGAATTGGGGAAGGTTAAGTGCCCGTGTCTGGGAGACCTTTCTAGTTCTGGGCCAGTGCTTGAGTAGCTGCCCTCGGCATTACAGGACTAACTGCACAGGTGGACTCATCCTCGGGTCTGATTTTGGCATTGCCTAGATTTGTGAAGCTGAGCTAAAGCCAACTCACAGCAGAGGACAGGCCCTGGGATCCCTCGGCACCCACTGGCATGTAAACTTGCTCCTTTGTCTACAACCCCAGCCAGCCTCGCCGAGATCCCTTGCCTAAGGAGGCCACATAGCCTCCTATCTCACTGAGATGGGCACCGCTCTGTCCGCTGAAGAGAGTCAGTGTCCCAGTAGCCTAAGGGCCTTTCGTGGCTCTGGCCTAGACAGTATTTGCAGTTCTTGGGCTCTGGGTGGTGTCCCTTCCTCTAGTTTGGGCAGCTGTGCTGCCTCTGGATGGGCTGCTGCTCCCAGGGCTCAGGGTCTGTGGTCCGCTCAGGGTCTTGTCTTCTCCAGGCCAAGCTAAGGCAGCAGCCTGTTATATGGTGTTCCAGGCTCTAGGCTTGGAGGGAGAACTTTAAACTTGTCTGCTTTTAGGGACACAGGACCTGGGTACAGGTGCCCAGAGTCTGCTCAGAGCTTTGTCCAGTTAATCCTGGGGTCTGTCAGTGAGTTCGTTTGTCCACCTGCCAGCCCTTGTTTTGTGGGGAGCTTTCTGGAGTATAGCCTTGTTGATTAGTAGCTGTTGATTTCCTTCATGCTTTCCTCAGCAGAATAGTCTTTCCCTCTTCTGAGGTGAGCCTTTGCGCCTGTGCCCTCCTTAGCAGGTTCTGCTATTTTACAAACCTGCTAGCAGAATGACCCGTAGTTGTGTTCACTTGCTGGCCTGGTGGCCTTCTTGTGGGCCTGGGGTATGACCCTCAGCACCAACAGTGGGGCACTGAAGGCTCAAGGGCTGATTCTGACCCGTTGCTTTATTTTTGCTCCCAGCCCTTTGATGGTAGAGACCTGCTGCCTGTAACATGGGTGTCCAGCAGGTTACACTACACTCAGCCATTGCCAAGTCTATGGCCAATGATCAGTGCTTTTGACATGTCTGTTTTGGCATTTGAAGATAATACTGCCAACCTTTGAGAGATACTGGTAACTGATGGTATAATTTCCTGGTTCGTAGAGATGCAGCCTCTGAAAAGGGCTCCTTGACGGACCCCAGGCATGGTCTTCTGACCCTGGTGCCAGTGGTGGGCAGGTTCCCATTCCTTAGGGCAGGGAGGCACAGCTTTGCCCATTTCTGGTTAGTAACAACTGTCTTCTGTCCAGTGGTATTCTCTGTTGCTTCAACCATGGGGGCAGTAAGTGTTTGTTAGTATAGACACATCTCTGCCAGGACAGAGGTTAAGAGAGGGGTTTGGGGCCAGGGTGACCTAGGAATGTGCTGTACTTCCCTGATTACCAGATTCTGGGAGGCACTGCCCCATTCTGCTGCTGCTTATGTAGCAAGGGAGGCTGTACCCACGACATTGCAAGTTCTGCCTCTACAGCATGAAAAGGCTGGGATTTGCTGCTTCTCCTCAAGGACAGGGCCCCACTTTTCAGCACTTTTGATATCTGGAGGGCCAGCTCGTTTATCTGATTGGTGGTGGCTAGTGTGGCCATTGCTTTTCTACCTGTCCCAGGCTAGCGTCCTGTTCCTGACAGGCCCTGCCTTCCCAGCCCCAATTTGGGACCAAAGTGCAACTGGGATCATGGGTTGGGGAGCTCAGATTACCCCTCTCCATAGTATTTCCCTGGGCTAGGCTCACACCAGCCCCGGGAGATGTGTGGAAGTAAAATGGGATGGGTGGTACTTAAAGACGGAAGGGACCAGTGTAGTAACTAACTCACCTGGGACCCCACCCCTTCCAGCTTTGGGCCTGTGCAATGGATTCTCTCCTAGAGGCCAGGGGTCTGGGCTACTTCAATATCCGCTGCTCATTTGCTCCATCTGGCCATTTGCACGTTCCTTAGATGCAAACTGCTTTGAACTTTACAGCTGTGTAAGTTGGTTGTGTCTGTGCCCATTAAAGAAAAAAAAAAAACCTGCATTTTAATGAGAAAAAAGAACCTGGGGAAAGTTCCTTTGCTTCTGTAGAGGAAATATAAGACTTCGAATTTTGGAAATTGTTTTCTGCTCCTCTTTCCTGGAAGCTACACACCTGCCTACATACCCTAAGACCTGCGCCTGGATACACACGTGAATCCATTGGCGTTTAGGCGCGCTTGCGTTTCCCCGGGTCTTGTGTGTGAAGGAGAGGGGTGCTTGGTCCGCGCCGGCCCCTCTCTGTACACCCAGCACTACCCGCCCGCTTGTGTCAGGTCGTATATGTCAAAATAAAGCCTCTAGAAACTGAACTCTGTCCAAGTCTTCGTGAAACCTTCACAGCCTCTGGGTGGGCTGGCCCAACTAGACGCTCACACTTCTTGGTCTCCGCTTGAAGGGAGGTACCAGGTAGGAATTTGGGGACTGGACTGAACTGGGTCGGAACGGGTACTGAAGGGCGGTGCCTAAGTTTTGGGGCAGCACAGGAGCGGTTGGAAATGGGGGTCGAAGCAGGCACTGAGGGGCAAGGCAAGTGGTGCTGGAGCTGGGGGTCTGGGCGGGCACCGAGGAGCAGGATCGTTGGGGTGGACCCGGAGCGGGTGGGGTGGGGTGGGGTGGAGGAGGCCGCTCCGACTGGGCGGGGTCAAAGGAGGTTGCTTCTTGGCGGACCCGGTTCCGATAGGAAGCCAAGCTAACTCCTCCAGTTCCGCCTTTAGATCCGCCAATGGGCATCTGACCCGCGAGTTCTCCGGGTCCCCATAGCAGCCCAGCGCGTTGGGAATCTAATTGGCTACGTCTGCCGTAGCGTAGCGCTGGGCGGTCGACTGCGGGCGGCCCTGCCACGTAGACGGCAGGCGATTGGCTCTTCCTGGTTACGTCACTGGCTGCGCCGCCTCCGGCCGGAACTCCGGGCCAGCCCGTGTCTCCAACCAGTTCCTCCTCCGGTGTTCTGGGTGCCCCTAGACCCTACATCAAGGTAGATCAGGCGGACGAGGTGAGGCCAGAGTCGGTCGGTCTGGCTGGTGAAGGACGCGGGCAGGGCACGGCGGCGGGAGTGCGCGGCAGGGGTCGGTCAGGGGGCCTGTAGGTACTTTGGAGCCAGGGACCCACTCCTGTCACCCGCAGGCGCGATGAAGGCACTGATCTTGGTGGGTGGGTATGGGACACGGTTGCGGCCGCTGACGCTAAGCACCCCGAAGCCATTGGTGGACTTCTGCAATAAGCCCATCTTGCTGCATCAAGTGGAGGCGCTTGCCGCGGTAAGGCCCTGGGTCAGCTGTGGCGGGAAGAGGGATGGATAGTGACTGAAAGGCCAGGGGTGGTCATACCTTGTGACCAAGCCCGTCGATTAGGCCACCTTATTGTTTCCCACAGGCAGGTGTGAACCACGTGATTCTGGCTGTGAGCTACATGTCACAGATGTTGGAAAAGGAAATGAAGGCACAGGAGCAAAGGGTGAGGCATGCATGGACTTAGTTCTTTCTTTTGATCCCTGGGGCTTGAGGGAGAATATAACCGACCAGATGGCTTCTTCCTTTCAGCTTGGAATCCGAATCTCTATGTCTCATGAAGAGGAGCCTCTGGGGACAGGTCAGTAGAGAAAGGAAGGCTTTTGGTCATGGTTTAGGGTCAGTAAAGGCATTATTCAATCTGGTAGTAACATATGACTTGTCCCCTTGCATAGCTGGGCCTCTGGCACTGGCCCGAGACCTACTCTCTGAGACCGCAGACCCTTTCTTCGTTCTCAACAGCGATGTGATCTGTGATTTCCCCTTCCAAGCCATGGTGCAGTTCCATCGACACCACGGCCAAGAGGGCTCCATCTTGGTAAGAGACCAAGTCTTTCTTCTCTGATATCCCCACCCTCATACCCCGTTGGTCTGGACACTCGGTCTTAAAGTCTCTTCATGTTGTGCAAAGCTGTGTATGTGTAGGATGTTTCGGGGGCAAAGCCTTTGAAACGTGGATATGCATGTGTATCGAGGATAAAGAACACTGGACCAGGCCTAAGGTGCCCTCTGCCTCCATATCCAGGTAACCAAGGTGGAGGAGCCTTCCAAGTATGGCGTGGTGGTATGTGAGGCTGACACGGGCCGCATTCACCGTTTTGTTGAGAAGCCACAGGTGTTTGTGTCCAATAAGATCAACGCAGGCATGTACATCCTGAGCCCTGCTGTGCTGCAGCGCATCCAGGTGTGTAAGAGACTGCTGGCGGGCTAGGGTGGAGCCAGGCTCTGTTATGTGAGCTGCTCACAAGTTGCCCACTTCCACAGCTGAAGCCTACATCCATTGAGAAGGAGATCTTCCCAGTCATGGCCCAGGAGGGGCAGCTATATGCCATGGAGCTCCCGGGTGAGGCGGAGAGGCCATCGGGTGAGGGTTAGTCTGTAGTTGGCAGATCCTCTGACTCACTTCTCCCTGCAGGCTTCTGGATGGACATTGGACAGCCCAAGGATTTCCTCACTGGCATGTGCCTCTTCCTGCAGTCATTGAGACAGAAACATCCAGAGAGACTCTGTTCAGGCCCTGGCATTGTGGGGAATGTCCTTGTGGTGAGGCCCTTGCCCAGCCTGTCACTAATCCTTTCAGATTTGGGAGACAAATGACCTACTCTTACTTTCCTCCACACTCTCAGGACCCAAGTGCCCGTATTGGTCAGAACTGCAGCATTGGCCCCAATGTGAGCCTGGGTCCTGGTGTGGTGGTGGAGGATGGCGTGTGCATCCGGCGGTGTACCGTGCTTCGGGATGCGCACATCCGCTCCCACTCCTGGCTTGAGTCATGCATCGTGGGCTGGCGCTGCCGTGTGGGCCAGTGGGTAAGCCTGGGAGCTGGGCTGGGTGGGGAAAGGCGCAGGGAATGTGTGTGTCCCATTAACAAGCCCCTCCCTCCCCGCAGGTGCGCATGGAGAATGTAACTGTGCTGGGCGAGGATGTCATAGTTAATGATGAACTCTACCTCAATGGAGCCAGTGTGCTGCCCCACAAGTCTATTGGGGAGTCGGTGCCAGAGCCTCGTATTATCATGTGAGGGGTACGTGGGGCTGACCAAGCCCCTCTTCACTGCCAGCAGTGTAGGAATCGCTCAACACCTCGGAAGACCCTGGACTTGGTGCCGTCTGTCTAGGGAGGAATGGGTGACTCTCAAACTGTTGGACATCTGCCTTCTGATGGGGACCGAAACTGACAGAATCCTGCTGGGCATAACGCACAAGCCCCACTCCCGCAAGAAGAGCTGGGCCTGGGGCTGTATGGAATAATAATTTAATGCTCACTGTAGCCTGGATTGCAAGTCAAGCTCAGGCATAACTAGGGTGTGGTTGGGCTCCCACCAGTGAGGCTCACACAGGAGATGGATGGATGGAAGTGTCTAAGAGGGAGGGCGATGGGAAACAGAGCCGAAAGAGCTCATAAATAGGGCTCGGTCTGGGTCTGAGGGTGGAGGATCCAGGACGGTGCAAGCTGTGTGCATTAGGCTGGCCTAGGCAGCCGAGGAGGTGGCACTTGTGGTGGCTGCCTTGTCCCAGTCCTCTACAGACACGATGGTGGCCTTGCAGAAGAAGCAGTCCTTGTTGTTCATCAGGTGCTGGTTGATGCAGGCTCTGCAAGAGGGGAGGGGAATGAGCTCTGCCTCGTGTGTCCTAGTAGCCGCCCAAGTCCATGGGGCCCACTTACTTGCAGGACTTGTGGCCACAAGGCTGGAACACAGCAGAGATGGGGTGGGCATAGCAGATTGGGCAAAGGTCCTCTTCACTGGTGGGCTGTGGACGGAGAGTGAAGGGTGGGTGGGGCTGTACCTGTAACTACCCTGCTGTGCACAGATGGATTGAAATAGCATGGGCCTGAGTGTCTTAGCTCCACTCACCAGGGAGGCAGCTGCTGCCTGGGCAGACGCAGCCGTCAGGTGTGCCAGCATCTGTTCCACCTGGGTCAGCTCCTCCGCACTGATATAATCTGTATCTGGATTAGTGGTAGTTGGTGTCAGGTCCCTTGTAGGACTAGAACTCAGTGCCTTTTGAATATTCCCAGGCAGGAGTATTGCTACTCTTGAGGATCCTGAGCTTAGAACATCCTGGGACTCTTTCTGACCCACCCCTGGCCCACTTACAACTCTGTAGAGAGAAGCGTTTCCGGTCCGGGGCAGGCAAGGTAGTGCCAGGTGCTAGGGGTTCTGGCTGCCCCAGGAGATAGCATATGGAACGGAGCTGGAAGCAAGGATCAGCCAGGAGCACTGAGGTGGCTTGCTCTGACCTAGATAGGGAGGGTGCATAGGTGGTGGGAAAGTGTTGAGCCTGTGTGAGAATTACCTCCGCTGTGGGGTTGGCTGACAACCCAGAGGCCTCATTATTACGCCGTCATTCTTTACATTTTGATGCTTACCAAGCCTCTTAAGCCCCGGGGCCTTAGTAGGACCTGACTCTGATCTCAAGGACCCACAGAATGGAACGAGAAAAACCACTCTCCCACTAGTTATCATCTGACTTCTCCGTGAGCACCGCATACACAAATAAGTAAATCTAAAGGGAGAAGGGCGAGGATTCCGCCTACCACATAATACAGTAATCTTTCAAAATCACTTAGAGAACATAAACGACAAAAAAAAAAAAAAACCCTCTCAGACTCTTGCTCAAAAGGGAAGTGAGCCTTCCAGTCAAGTGAACTAGGACGTTGGCGCCCTCTAGCGGTTACGCACGCTGGGTCTTCCAAGTGCCAGGGCAAGTGGCTGCCCCACCCCTTAACAGCAGGAGCCAATAGGAGCTTGGGTCCCCACCCCTGAGCAGTCACTTCCTAGTGAGTACTTAGAATCCCCTCAGAAAAACGCTTGGAGAAGCCAGCGAAACAGTAAGGAGCGCTGGGGCCCCAGCTCACAGCCCCAGACCAGAAGAGCAGAAGCCAGCTGGGAGGGTGGAGCCGGCACTGCCTCTCGAGCCATGGGCCACAGGGAACCACAATCCGCAAGCCTGTACACAAGCAGGTGAGTCACGGAGCTGTTGACCAGCACTAAGCTGCCCCCATCTCTTCCCTGGTGGTCACTGCCATGGCCTGGCTGGTGGTGCCAGGCATACTACTGTGCATGCTGGGTGCTGGATTAGGCGCCTCAGATTTGGAGGACCTTCTGCCTCTTGCTCCCCACAACTGCCCCAATAAATGCATCTGTGCTGCCGATGTGCTGAGCTGCGCGGGCCATGGATTACAGGACGTGCCGGTAGCATTACCTGCCACTGCCTCAGAACTCGACTTGAGCCACAATGCACTCAAACGCCTGTACCCTGGCTGGTTAACACCCCTCTCCCAGCTGCGTGTCCTGTACC